ATCAAAGACTATTTAAATTTCTAACAATAATTATTCGTAAATGAGATTTTTCCCTCGTTCGCGAATATTTTTAATTGGGTTTTATATCAAAGAAACAAACAGATTATTTAAAAGAAACGTCCTTAAATATATTGTTAAGTATCTTTTAATAATATACAATTTACAATTTTTCAGAAACTTCTTTCTTTTATTTTGAAGTAAAGTGTATACAACTTAACCTCCAATCTACGGACATTTTTTTTATGTTCCTGTCGGTGGTCGTTGTTTACAGGTTTTGACTGTACAGTTTCTATAAAGTAATCTCGTCTTTAAGGGGGGGTGTTTTTCACTCTTAAAACTCCCTTAAGTCTTCTTTTAAGAGAGTAAAACACCATCTTAAAGAAGAATAAAGGAGTCTTAGAAAACACCCCCCTTAAAGGAATGTAGCCTTAAGGTGGATGAAACCCCCCTTGAAGGAGCGTAAAGGAGTCTTAGGAGAATAAAATACTTTATTTTAATCAATCAATAAATAAATAAATGCAAATTTTTATTGCTTCAATAAATTTATTCCTTAAAAATTATGTGGTTTTAATTTTTACTTTCAAACAGCGCTAAAAATATTAAATTAACTTAGTTTAGTTTCTAGAAAAATATTGTTAATCTAATATTTTTTTTTATTATAAAAATATGATAAAAACAAGGTTTTTTTATCGCAATAATTATAAAAAGAAACTATTTTTTTTTTAAATCTAAGCACAATGCAGTTTTCTATTACATTTTTTATGGTATATAATTGAAAAAATATTCAAAGGAAAAGAATTTTATAATTAGAAAATTACAACTTTTGCAATTTAATTATTTTAAAAAATTCATCATAAAATAAACTACTTTTTTTTAAAGATTTAGATAAATAACATTTGATATTTTTCCCCACTGTGATCCGTCTGTGTGTCTGTCCTTAGGTAATCACGAGAACAGAATTTTATATAGATGAAAATCGAAGCCAGATGTGGTATGATTAGAGAGGTGAAGGCCCCGATTAATTAACTATGTAATAACTTCCAGTTTAAACCGAATATTACGTTATTTAAATTCAAAAATTTTTTTTCCTAAAAGGAGTGAGATGACCGGCACGACTCTATTGCTAATAGGAAAAGTATGATGTACAGGGGCGAGACATTAGTAATTTGAGGTGGAGAGCATATATTGTATATCTGGTCTCGAATTTCATCTATTAAACTCCATTCTCGAGATTAAGGAAGGTCAGACAGGCGGACTACAGTGGGAATTTATAGGTCTATAATTATTTTTTTTTTTTTCAAATTGTAGTCCAATTAAATAAATTAAAAACATGATTATTAAAAAATTGCAACCCGGTATTGTGACGATGTCACAATAAAATAATTACTTGTTGTACTAAGGGATAATACGCAGCACGCTGTAAACGTTACATTATTTTATTAATTACGCTTATAACGCAAGAAGCGGTTACATAAACGTTACGGTGTAACACTTCAGAAACAAAAATTAATCGTTCTGTTGTTACTCGAGGGACGAAACTCTTGCATTACGTGACGTTATTATAAACACTTCACCCCCGTTGTAACGATTCTTATGAAACGTTACGACGGGGTCGAACTAATTGTTACGATTTAATTCTTAATTATTCGAATTTTACTTATTTAAATTTATGTTTTTTTTTTTTTCCAATGAAAATAATTGGTTACAATTTTAAAACGTACTAAAAGACTTCTAATTCGAGTTAAGCACGATGCAAATTTCTTATGAATAATTCATTTTAAAGAAACTTTTATATTATTTAATTCGAATAGAATAATAATATTCATAAAAATTCTCTATTATACCACGCTAATTTGTGTTTAAATTTAACTAAAGTTGTCTCTTAGAGTAATTAAAGAGAGAGAGAGAGAGAGAGAGAGAAACCATGCGATATTTTAATTCTAGCAACGTAATGATTTTTCTAAAACGTCTCGTTTTAATGCAGATTTATTACAATTCATTTTATTTTTATAAATTAGGATAAGTTTCATATGCATTAAAGTAAGGAAAGTAGTTTAAATGTTGTATTTTCTATCTCCTTTTGTAAGAGAATTTATCAGATTCTGGAGAATGTAACTACACTCGTGTCAATTTGTTTTGCATGGTTAAGATGCTAAAAGTAGAAATAATTAAAAGATAACGTCGTTTATCTTCTTTACATTTATTATTATTTATTACATTTATTATTTATTATTTCATATATAAAATTTTAGCAAAAAAAAAATATGCTCGTTTACGCTTCAAAAATTCCGTGATTTAGTACAGTCGAACCTCCGATAACGACACAATTCCAAGCTGAAATTTTCAATTTATTTAATATAAAATATACGCTCTCCATCTCAAATTAGTATTGGCTTGCCCCTGTAAATCATACTTTTCCTCTAACAATAGAGTCGTGCGGGAATAACTCCTTTCGGGGAAAATATTTGAATTAAAATAACGTGACTTCCAGTTTTAATATGAAGTTCGTATATAGTTAATCGGGGCCTCCTGTCCCTAATATTTCCATATCTAGTCTCGAATTTCATTCATATAATATCGTTCTCGATATTATGGAAGGACGGAAAAACTGGCGACTGTGGAGAATTTACAACTTTTTTCAAATTTCACTCCAAAAATCTAGTGTTAAGGTTAAATAAAAGGTAGAAAAATAATCTACGTAACATCTTCTATTCCCCCATTTATCTCCCCCTTTCTTCAGAATGTTTATGAAGTTTTCGCGAGGTAAAAAAGACCGTTTATTACGTGGAATTTTCTTAAATCGAATCGAAACTTCAGCGATTTAAATTCGAAACAAGAAACGAAAAGCGATTGTTTCCGTGACAGTTTTCGTGCAATTAAACGAACCAAGTTTGACTAAAAAAAAAGTATATTTTACTTAATTGTCTTAATGTTATAACGAGTAAATTCGCCATTTTTTTATTCTTTAACAATATGCGATGCATTTTAAATGTATATCGTCACGCAACCATTATTTTATTTTATCTCCATTATTTTATTAGTTAAGTATTGAATACGAAGTTTCGAGGTAAGGAAATTGTTTTATTAATTAAATTAAACTGTAGAGAGGGGTGAAAAGGAGAAATAAAAATTTTTTAAATATTTTTTTTTTCCTTAACTTAAATTTAATGAAAAATGATGCGAAATTTTCCGATTTATGTATTGGTTTTATTGAATAAATGTTTTGTGAATTTAAACGAATGATAAATTTTTAGTAAGTTTTAATTGTCGTGAAAGGGGGGTTTCGTTCTTTCCTTCCTTTGGACATTAAAAAGGCCTTTTTATCAAGCTCGTCGTGGGGGCTGGTCGATTCCGGATTCGATCCCGAGTCCTCCAGAACGATACGCTGACACCTAAACCGCTCGGCCATTAATATGAGAAGGGAATAGTCGTAGTGCTTTAAAATTATCTGAGCTCACCAGTGGATAAACCGCCGAACGTAGGTTACGAATTCGCACCTGATCAGCGGAAATCCACGTGGAGTTTTCGGGTTTTCTTCACGCGTCTAACACCTAAATAGGATTTGGTTTATTTACATAGGGCAACGCGACACATGGGTGATCTTTCGAACAAAGGATGACTCCAGGGAGAACTTTCTATGGGAAATTCGCCTCAATTTAGGTGTTACAAACCAGTGTTCAGTGGTTTTATCCACTCGGCCGTTAGTGGACACTTAGATAGGGGTCGGTTTCTCATATAAAATCCTCCCTTGAGGCACACCCTTGGCAGTGGCGCGTTATCCTATGGGCAAAAAAGAAAAATTGCTTCGGGCCCCACCAACAGGGTGGCACCAAACTAATCTTTTATAAGAAAACTGTATGAGTTCAACACTACACGAGGATCCCTAATTTATATTCTTATGGATCCCATGAAGTTATAACGCACCACTGCCCATTAGTAGATCGTTGTTGCGTTGTCTTATTCCATCAATCCAATCCTTCAACACTATACATTTTTAAGGTAAAATATTATAATTTATATTAAATTTTACTTAGAAAAAGTTTCGAAATGTAGAAAATTAACTATTAAATTACGACTTTTAAATATTAAAAGAAAAATTAATTAACTTTAGTTTCTTCTTCGATTTTTCGAATATTTTGGTGGTATTTTCGGAAGTTTAAATGCGCTATTTTTCATCAAACTATTTTTAGAAGTTTTCGATGCACTTTCCTTTGTTTAAAATCGTTATTTCCAATTTTGTTGTATTCCATTCGTCAAAATCTTAAGAACTTCACTGTAAAAGTGACTTATGCCATAGATTTTTGTTACTTAAATATATTTATTTATTTATTCTCGAATTGTTTTCTAAACTTTACAATTGAATTAAATTTTAGATTATTTACAGATATCTACAATTTATTTATGTAAAATTATTTCTTTAAATTTCAAAAAAATAAAAAATTTCTTAATAATTTTTAATAGGCAAATAAGGATGTTAAGTGAAATAGTGATAAGGCGAATTAGAGTCGGGGTAGATTAACAACATCCACTGGGCCCTATGCACAGAAGATTAGGGCCCATCGGTGGCCGAGTGAATGAAACCACCGAACAATGGTTCCGCCAGCTTTACCACGTGGAGTTTTTCGGGTTTTCTTTACGTTTGTGATATTTAAATAGTGGTCTGTTTCCCACAGAATTCCTTCCGGGAGACACTTCTCTTTTGGTAGATCGCTCACGTGTCGCTTTGCCTTAAGCAAATAAACCAAACCAAACTAAAAGATTGGGGCCTTTCTATATAATTTTACATCATAAATTAATAACATATCTGTAGAATTATTTATAAATTGTGATATGGGCTTACAATTACTACAGTAAAATTTCTTCTGTTTCCAGTTTGGGGAGGCTTCCAGGCAGGTGCCTAATTGTCAATCCGGCGTTGCTTACAGCTAATATATATTGAAGGAAGTATAGTGTGGATTTTAAATTTATTAAGTTTTTTCTTCTTTTTTTCTTAATTTAAGGTACTTACCAAGGACAATGGATGAGAGGAATGAGGCACGGTTATGGAGTGAGAAGCAGCGCACCTTTCGGATTAGCATCACATTATCATCCAAAAACAGTTCGAGAATCTTTCACTTCCCTCGAAGACGAGCTCGATTCTTCTCCAGATAGGAAAAATATACCAGAAGAAGGACGAGGAGGATTTGTGTTGAAAGCTCGGAGCGATGAACCCACACAAAGACGTCGCCACGCTTCAGAAAACGTAAAGCGGTCTATCTTTCAGGTAAATTGTATTCTTGAATATTAGAAAAAGTTCGTTTTAGGTATAAAAAACGCGTAAAATATACAACTACTTCCATAATATTCTAACTGTATTGTTTAAGGAAAAGTATGATGTACAGGGGCAAGCCATTCAGACATTGTGACCATTTTATTTTACTAAAATAAATATATTTTTTTTATTTAATCGTAGGGACTGAGAAAGAAGAAAAGCGATAGCAGCAAACAGGATGCTGTAGGTCCGCATCGTAGTACGAATTCGATGAGCTCGGCTAGTTCAGAATCCGGAAAATCGGGCTACACTCATACTTCGATGATGACCGATAGCAACACTAGTTTTGTTAGCCAAGACGACATAACAGATGCTAATGTGATCGAAACATACATGGGTGATTGGAAGAACGACAAGAGATCAGGTTTCGGTATTGCCGAAAGATCGGACGGTCTCAAGTACGAGGGTGAATGGTACAATAATAAAAAATACGGCTACGGCGTTACCACTCTTAAAGACGGTAAAAGAGAAGAAGGAAAATATAAAAATAATGTGTTAGTGACATCGGGAAAGAAGAAACATCTGTTTCTACTTCGTTCTGCAAGATTTCGAGAAAGAGTACAGTCTGCTGTTAATGCTGCGATACAATCATCCCAGATAGCACTCCAGAAAGCGGATATCGCTATATCGAGGTATGTTTTAATTAATATAACGACTTTCAGCTTTTTATTTTAATATTGTCTATAAAAGAAAACTTAATTAAATTATCTTCGAATGGTTTTAATCTATAAACGAGAAATCATCGTCCTTTTCCTGTATATATATTTTAAACTTTCAAGTAAAATTTATAAGAGTTTGTTCTGGGTTATTTATAAAGTTTACTATTTATAGCAGTTCTGTAACTTGAACCAGGCTATACAGTAAAAACTCACCTGATAGACCTAATCTTTTAAATTTTTCTTACATTTTATACATTAAAATAGCTTCAAATTATGCTTNCTACTGAAAATATTTATATTTCCTGCCCAATATTGATATAACAAACTTATTAATAAAATAAATAAAATACCACTAAAATAACATCGATCGATAACCAGTTTTATAGTTCTTGATAAGTCATACAGATTCAAGGAAACATACCTTTCACCATATAAAATGATAATATATTAATGAATATAATAGTGTACTAGTTTACATTTTCTCATCTTCATTGTCATGGTGATAAGAGACATTTAACTACCAACTCCACTGTAAAAGCTAATGTAAAATTAATAATGAAAACGAAGGAAATAGTGATTAAGTAATTAAAATGGCTTAGTTATTTCAGTTTTAGAGGTATAAATTATTGTATGCGAGTAAAATAATATTCATATTGTTGATTGAAATTTAAGCAGTTTTCCTGTAATGGGTGCTTCACCGCATATCACGTTTGTATAAAGGAGAAGCACGTAATTTAAAGATATTAATTTAGTATTTTTTTATCGTAATTTTAGTGATAAGCATGTAAAAATTGTGTGGCTTCTTTAACAGACCATCGGGATATTTAACAAAATCGAACTCTTGAACCGGCATTAATCGATCGTTTAGAATTTTAAAAATAAAACGCGAAAATGATTTATTTGTTCTCCCGTTTTATGCATTAAATCAATCATATTTTCGATATATTTTCAACAGAACAGCGACAGCACGAGGTAAGGCAGAACAAGCAGACATCGCAGCTATACATGCCAAAGAAGATGCAGAGATCGCTCGACTAGTAGCGAAGCAATTCGCACCTGATTTTAATCAACCAGGTGAGTAATTATTTGAAGGGAAAAAAAGAAATCATTTTATTGTTAACAGATTTGTGACGAAATGGTTAAACCATGAACGAGATGAGTTCGCTTGCGATTTTTGCTTTGCTACTTGTTGACTGCGGTTAAAGTGTCGAATAAGCTGAAATCGGTTGGACGGAATTGGAAGCCAAGAGATCTTTCCCAGTCTAACAAGGTCATGACTGAAATAGTTTGTTGCGCGCGCACTCGTTAACCCCGTCACGTGGTGACTTGTTACTTCTGTGAAGCCAAACAGATGAAGGAGTCAGTATATGTGGCCCGTCAAGATAACGAGAATCAACCCGTGATCGAAGGATAGAACTGTGACCTTTGATTCCAAGGTCAGTTGAATGTCTTAATTTCTTTTCGAATCGGAAAAATTGTGTGTATAAACAGATGAAATGGTACTGTGTTAGGAGAAGAAAAATGTCGTTTAACTTAAGTTTTCTATCTCTTTTTTTCAAGTTTCGAAGGAAAGAATATGTTTCGGTTTAGAAGCTGAAAAACTGAAATATTTAGGCCATTCTCATTGTAAATCGGAATATTTGTCATTTGTAAATTAATTTATTTATATGGTAGTTTCAGTTTCTTAATTTTAATTTTATATATATTTTAATTAAACTTATTGTAAATAATTTCATATGAATAACAACTATTTATCTCTATCTTTTTCTTCGATATGTTATAGGAGCGGAGCATCTTAAACATCGTCTTGGTAGCAAATTAGACTCTCAATTAAATCTTCTTCGGCTACCTCCACGTGACAATTTTCCGTCCCAACACAGATCTCGTTCGCTATATCTTCAAGCAACCACAGTTTCTAAAGAAAATCTTGCAAGTCCCAGTGATTTTGATCAGCCGTCCAATGAACAAAATGAGCATCATGGCTATACAATTCATCATACTACGAGAGACCATTTCGATCATTACCAAAGTGTGCCATTAAAGAAAAAAGCAGCTCCGAAATCATTACAGACTCCACGTACAGAAACTGAAGTACCAACTCTTGCTGATACTTTAAAACAATATTACGGAGCAGACTGTACTCCGGATTCAGGTGTGTCTGAAAGTATGGATAACGATGAAGCACCACCAGTTCGTCCTCCACGGAGATCGACATTACCATCAGTATTGTATCCACCAGAATATCCTCCCGTAAATATTGGTGTAAGTGATAGCGAAGCAGGTAGTAATACCCCAGAAGATGAAGGTGCTTCGAAAAAACGGGCATTCCAGGAAGGTCCGCAACGCACTTCTTCGTGTCTCTTCAGAAGGCACGCTCCTTTACAACAAAATTCTATTCACATGAATGAACATGGAAGGAGAAAAAAAAGTTTGCCAGATATTGGAGTTTTGGCTGTTAAAAGCCCAGGTATGAGTCGTGAAGAGGTCGCAGCACTGAGTTCCTTACGTCGAGCAGAATTGATTCGACAAGAAGAAGAAGCTGAACGACTTCGGTCCAATCCTTTGCTATATCTCTTGAGTCCAGATGTCAGGGTAAGATTGGTTATATTTAATGCTTTTATGTTCTCATTAGACGAGACAGTAGTTAGCCAAGTGTAGATTTTCTTTTCAATATTTTCAATATAATGAAAAATATATCGTTAATTATTTATAAATATGTATTTTGCATAACGTTATTAAATATCAATTACCGAGTCATATACCAAGAGGACTTTTTTTTGGGTGTTTTTTAACTGAATAAATGAAGAATTTTTCCTTCTTATCTTACATCCGAAATTGTATGAATGTTGATGAAACTATTCGAAGAAATTACTTTCTGCCTGAAGAATTTCTTCCATTTTTCACGGGCTCAAATTCAATCTATTGTCCACTTTTAATAGTCAAAACAGAAGCATGAGTTGCGTTATTTGATCCTTAGTAGGACATACCTTGGCCAAATTAGTCTACACAAAAGTCTTGCCAAACCTCAACGTCACGAATAGCTTGTACAATTCCTTTTATCTGACTTATACAAACTTATTCTATTCTTTCTCTCAAAGATAGATTGAATGATCTATTCTCGTGAGTCACTTTCAAAGCGACTAAAACTAAATCACAAACATTCCCAGAGAGCATCTTTTATTTACGACTTTTTTAGATATACCAATTTCTATTTATTTTTTTATTAATTAACTACTGAAAATATTTATATTTCCTGCCCAATATTGATATAACAAACTTATTAATAAAATAAATAAAATACCACTAAAATAACATCGATCGATAACCAGTTTTATAGTTCTTGATAAGTCATACAGATTCAAGGAAACATACCTTTCACCATATAAAATGAATAATACATAATGTATTATGTATGATATGTCTACTATAAGTAAACACCGTAAATATAATCGTTAACTTTTAATAATAAACAAAATTCTACCTTTTTTAATCGATGGATCTTCCCCTCCCCCTTTCTACAGTTTACATTTTATGTCTTTTAAATGTTTGAAAGTCATGTCTTTTCTTTTCCTTTCTTAACTGGAATATTTCCAAATTCGATTTGTTACAGATAACTTATTTGAAAATATCAAAACATCACAATTGTCATTCGAGTTGAAGGTCTCTCTCTCTTTTTTTTATATCTCCCTTCTCCCCTTTTTCGATACGAACTTATCCAATTGTTTCTTTTCCTTTCCACCCCTTTGGATAGTTTGCTAATCGCGGATTTTGGAAACATTCCCGGCCTTGAAACTCCGTAAATATATATATATATAGAAAAATTATTCTTACAAAACTAATGGAATTTTAAACTATCAATCATCTTCATTCTCTACTACACAAGGGGGGGGGAGAGTTATGGTTAACATTCGCTCCATTGAGCGGGTATGGGCATATATATATATAGGCCTATATACTTCATGCTCTATTTAAAAAAAAAAAAGAATTAAAACTTATACAAAATTAGATAAACATCGAAAGAAAAGTCTTAAATTACTAAAAGAATGTAACAGGAAAGAAAATTATGGCATGTCTGGCACATTTTTCGTCAAATCAGGTCGATATAAAAACTGTAACGTTATTGGTTAGAGGTCTGTATTCAAAGAATATTTCGATCAATAGAATTTTGTTTTTTATAACGGTATGTTTAAATAAATAGGATTATAATTTATATATTTATATATATATATTAATCAATTTCGTTAACTTTCTTTAATTTTATACGAAAGAAAAATATGTAAATTTTTATAATAAATATTAAATAATAAATTCGAAATAAAAAAGTAATTTTGAATAAATTATAGATTCAAAACTGCGTAATTTATACAAGCCGCTTTGCTATTGGTTAATTCTTTTATCAATATATTTTACTACTAGACGGAGCTTCTAATAATGGCAACCATAAAAGTATTTTTAAATAAATTTTTTATTTATTTATGTAACGTTTAAAATATTTAAAAATAATTTATTAAAATCGAGATAAATTAATACGTATTATTTAAAATTATCGGCCGGTATATACAAATAATGTTATGTTGAAGTTGTTACTGAATTTAGCAAAGTAAGCCAATACGCCGGTTACCGTTCATAAATACGTTCTATTTTTAAATTGATTCTAATGNTTGTAAAGCGGCGCTCGACGTTCGACGTTCACGTTTTACAGATGAAAACTTCGGCCGCAATCTTCGTATTATTATTTTTAATAATAATAATAAGAAGAAGAATAAATAAAACTTTTATTATTTTGTCAATTATTATATATAATGTTTGTGTGTGTATGTGTAATTGTTTGAAAAATATTTATATTTTGTATTTTCGGAAATTTTTATTTTAAATTTCTGATACAAAATTTTTATTGTATTTTGTAAACAAAAAGAAAAAAAAATATGTGTGTTTTTATTGGAAAAAATAAAATTTTAATACAATTTTTGATGTTGATTTTTTATTTGAATAAAGTTATTCTGGTTACATTTTTTTTCTTTTTAATTGACATTCGGGATTAATTATGTGTTATAAATCATAATTTTCTGGTGTATGAAATATATAAAGCAGGATGACACTTTAACATTTTTTAAAAAATAATTATACATCTGTTAAAATATTAAAATTTTATATATTTAATTTTTTTTTCCTATTTTTCTAAATTATTTTCTATATATTTCAAATATTAATATAGGCATTTATTATTTTTATATATGTATTTTTTTTCTTTCTTTCTTTTCTTTCTTTTAGGACTGGTTGTCTCGTCAGCAACTAGTGATGCTAGTTCTCTTCATCAACATTAGTTTGGCTATAATGTTTTTTAAACTCCTGACATAGTGACAATTTAATAAGAGCAGTTCCCGTGATCTTCCAGTACACCTGCAGTGAATTAGCAGGTAAAAATTATGTAAAGGTGGTGATACACAGCCCCCGTTGTTAACGGGTGAGCATTTTGGAGTTACGAGAGTGGAGCATCAATTCTGCTGTTCTGTCATATACAAGACAGGAGACTCCTAGTTAACAGCATACTCCTGAAGTGATTCCTTTATTTTTCACAGACGTACCTCGATTGGCTCCAAATCCTTGTAAAGGTATATCCTCTATTCCAAATCAGAGGTTAAACCTTCCAAGAAATAATAATAATAATAAACACACAGAATATGTTTCCATCTTGTTTCCTCTGAAGATCTATATGACATAGAAACGAAGGAACGTTGTACTTTGATTTTTTCACTATTCACTGCCTTTGTCCATTTGCTGCTTTGCCTTGTTTTGCACGGTGTGCGGAATGTTGGAGATATGTAGACCCGAAGGTGCCTCCGTATCTCTCATACATAAGGCGTGAAGGTGCTATTAAAAAGGAATTTTGTACAGGAATATGGTGTGTCTGTCATTTTATGGTGAAAAATACATGCGTTGAAAACATTATATTATTGTTAAATGTAGCTAAACTTTTAGGAATCGATCAAAATTATTGTATTAAAATCGCGAATTTCGTGGAATATTTAAAAAAAAAAAAAAATTCTGAGATGTCTATCCAATAAATTCTACATTGTAAATTATATTAATGAAAAAAAAAACTATATGGTTCTCGCTGTGAATATCTTTCAAACTTATTCAAATAATTTCTTCCAGTTTATATAAGGTGAGTTTTTAATATAAATTCCATAATATTGAATATATTATCACACATTATACTCCAGCAGACATTTCTATCAATCTTTACGTTATTATATATATTTGTGTATATCACTAGAACCGATTCATCACTAGCTTTATAAGATACTAGTTGATACATTGAAGTACATGACTTTATTTATGAAGTATTAGGGATTATAATTTTACAATAATTCTAATAAATACATCACCCTTTACTTGAACAATTATATTTAAAATATATATATATATATATTCCTGTTTTTAATAAGCTAAAGAGCAAATTTAGAAAATTTTAGAGCTAGTGTCTAACTCCATTCTCTAATCAAACAGATTGCAACGTTCCCTGTCTCTTCCCTTTTTTTTTTTTTTTTTTTTT